AGGTGGCCCTGTTTGATGAGGTCCTCGAGTTTGTCTTTTAATGCCGAGCATTCTTCGGTCGAGTGTCCTCTGTTTCGGTGGAACCGGCACGCTTTCGCCTTATCGGCTCTCGGGGGAGTGTTCGCCCTTTTCGGCATCACAAGGATTTCGGAAGCGAGGGCCTGCTCCATCACCTTGACCCTGCTCGTATTCAGAGGGGTGTAGGCGGTGTAACGTGGTCCTCTCGGCGGTCGAGTGGTCGGGGACTCATTATTCGCCTTTTTCAGGGGCTCTCGGCCTGGCTCTTTTCGGCTGTAACCCTCTTCGGCCCTGGCCTGGTTTCGGGTCTCCGCCAGTTCCTCCATTTGCATATACTTCTCGGCTCTTCGTCGGAGGTCATTCATATCAACGGGTGGTTTTTTGCACAAACTGTTCACGAATGGTCCCGGCCTGAGGGCCGTGCTCAGCCGATCCAATGCCACGGCAGGATTAAGATCACCAATCTCCATTGCAATCTTGTTGAATCGGTCCATGAAGCTTCTCAGGCTTTCTTTCTTTTCTTGACGGACCCCGGCCAAGGCTAATGAGGTCGTCTTGTACGGCTTACTTGTTGCGAACTGCAAGGTGAACTGGGACGACAACTCACCAAACGAGTCAATGGAGGCACTCGGCAGTCTCGTGAACCAACTAAGAGCTCTTCCTTTCAGCGATGTGGGGAATATTCGGCACAAAGTCGAGTCGTCCTGAGTTGCAGAATAAATCGGAGCTAAGATAATTTTGAAGATCATTATATATAGAGATTTGCACCCTACTTTTTAGCATTCATGAAGGTAAGGGGGAGTGAATAGTCTCACTCTAGGTATGACATATCTTTAGAGTAGTGAGATTGATTCCCAATCTCTTTTCGGTTGTGTATGTTGTATGAGGGAAAAATCCCAAATTGTGATTGCAACCTATAATTTTGTGTTCTATGTTCTTCTTATATGCCTTATTTGTACTAATTGATAAGTAGTTTTGTGTTTAATATTTTATAATTGCATGAAATCATGAATCTATGAGTACTTGTGATTCTTGTGAGAACCCTAGGGATATAGTAAAATGAATTAGTAAAGAGTCTTGTAATGCATCAATGCAATTATGATTACACCTTGTATTTATCGATGGAAACACTTGGTATTTGCATCCTATCCCTAACCCAAAATTGATTTGTCTACTATTTCTTGTATAATTCATTGCAGAATAAATCGGAGCTAAGACAATTTTGAAGTACCACATAATGATCACATCCCCGAGAATCACCTTGGTTTCTAATGATGTTCATCTCATGTTTGGTCCACTTTATTTCCTTACATGTATTCCTTAGTGTTTGTCTACCTCTTCAGATGTTGTCCAGATCTACTGACTCGTCCATCAACTCCCCAAGCTACTTAGGGCCTCCAACCATTGGTAACCTTAATTACCCTCAATTTTTGGTTCCTCAAGCCAAGTGTTCTCAAAGCGAAAGGAATGGTTCCAAGTATTTGGAATGTTTGCCATAATTTTAAGCCAAATAAGATTATGATATCACGAAGTCATGATACTATTAGATAAGATACAGTCTAAGAAGAGGGGTCTCCAACTTGATGTAACCATAGCATGATCGAAACACTCCTCTATCATGTCCTCCAATATAATCTACCTCTCGACCACGTATGTTGATAACCCTCTAATTGAAAGTCCTCTAAAAACATATCTAAGGCAACATGTTATAAGTGCTTGTGGGTGCGATAAACACCCTCCCTTCTCACTCGCTAATGATAAGTCATTAAAGTCCACAAGAACATGCCATGAGAGATTAGAAAAGGATGCTAGATGATGTAACAAGTCATGCAAATAATTTAAATGATGTTTCGAGCATCCATAAAACCCCTTATATGTGACACCATCTACCCCACATGTAACGATATTCAATGTAAATGGCTTACTGACTTAAACTGGATTCATGCATAAAAATCAATTGAGAAAAATCAAGGCTGGTAAAGGATACCACATAACAAACTCCTCCTATTAATACATAAATAAAACTTCAAAGTAAAACATAACTAGTAGTCGAACATCATGTCCTAGAAAATATATAACTTTAACAAGAAACAATCCAAATCTACGATCCAATGTTGCATATCCTATTAGAACACTTTCCAAAATAAGGACTAAGTCTCATTACTAGCATCATCACCTATAACAAACATATATGAAGAACAACATAGAAACAAAAGGAAATGAGAAACATCTCACTTTGACTCACAACATGAAATAAGGCTGGATAGCCAAATACACAAAACATATCAGATACATCCTTAAAATTCATACATATACAATTAAATATTCATAATAAGGTATTAATAAATCATTCATAACTATATTTATTCATCCCAATCACTCAATATACAATGCATTCACACACAAGATACAATGGACACAAACTAAGATTTGCATGCATGTGGTGCAAATCACAATATATATACAATCTATATATGTATCAATTTTTTGATTTACCAATTTACGTGCATATGATACATGTCATACAGACGCAATACTATATCATGTGTTCAATTTACATACTCAAACGATGATAAAAGATCATTAAGTCCCCAATTACACATAATGTGAAATTAGAAAAGGCTCATAGCTAACTTAACAAGTCTTGTGAATAATTTCTTTGACGATGTTCTAAACACCCATAAAACCCCGTAAGTATCTATAAATTAACGTCTTTCTGCCAAGTCTTTGCGTTAATAAAGTTGGTTGCGAACAACGTTATAGTTACATCAATCTTGTTTTTCAACAACAAAGCAATCGTTACGTCTTCCTTCACGATCTACAATGAACACATTCTTGAATCTTGAAAGAACCCTTGTGTCTTTGATACTCTTTCTTTATGCTAATGTTTCATACTTTAAGGATTTAGAAATTAAAAAGTGATGTTGCAAGTCCTTATTCATATATAATTGAACTTTTCTAATTTTGTTACTTGATATCCAAAGTGTAACTACTCCTGTTTCAATTGTAATACAATGTTTTACAACAATTTCTCTCTTGTTGTGGTTTCTATTCCAATTTTGATGGAGTAGGTGGTTGTCAGGTTATATTGATTGATATGTTGGTTCTAAGCCTTGGATTTGCTCTAGTTGTCTTGGTTTTGGTTGGTGTTATATGGTTATATATATATATATATATATATATATTTATTTATAAAATTCGTCAACTAAAAACATAAATATATATATATATATGGGGAATGCTAATATACTCCCACCTATTTTTTAGTGGGAGTATGTTAGCAACTTACACAAAAATTTTAGGACAAAAAAATCACTCATTTCTTTTGATTTGGTTAATTCGTAGAAAGGATATTATAGTAATTTAATTTAATTTTAAATGAAAATAAAATATTTTTTCTCTTATTAATTTTACTCTCCAATTCATTTATTTTTTTTATTAATTAATTTTTATTTATTCAGTGAGAGAGGGGGGAGACATCATGAGAGATGAGAGAGAAATGAGTTAAAGAAGAAATTTAATAGGAGAGAGGTAAATAAGTTAGAGAAAGAATTTAATAGGAAAAAGAAATGAGTTGGAGAAAAAATTTAATAAAAGAGAGAAATGACTTAGAGAATGAAATTAATAAGAGAGAGAAAATATTTTATTTTTATTTAAAATTAAATTAAATTACTATAATATCCTTTATACAAATTAACCTAATCAAAAGAAATGAATGATTTTTTTGTCCTAAAATTTTGATGTAAGTTGCTAACATACTCTCACTAAAAAATAGGTGGGAGTATATTAGCATTCCCCATATATATATATATATA